CGCATGCCGCGCAATTTTTGGAAATTTTTGGGGAGACCCTGGATCATGCGACGAGCAGTCCCCCCTCCGAGACAGATCGGCATTCTGGTAAGCAAATTTGTTTCTTGGATACTTTATAACCTTCATATTAACCTATTAGAATAGCTTGAGACAGTGGCGATACACACTCTACCTCAACAATTCTTTGGACCACTTTGAAGTCTGATATGGTCCCTTGCAAGTACAAAATGTATACGCATACATCAATACCAAGCAATGCTATATATTATGTTTAATTGGTTCTGGAAGGTGCCCTTCAATTATCTTCGGAGGTCTCGTTACTTGCGCGCTGACAATCTTGATCAGCTTTTGTCGAGGCTTGAGGCAATTGGCGTATGCAATTTCAAGAAACACTAATAGCGACTCACATTAGAGTTACAAAAATCTAATGGTTCGGCGGAGCAACAAGTGTTAACCTTGTCGAACATGAAGATTCTGATCTCTCGTTGTCCTTTTGTCTGGTGACTCCGGCATACATTCAAGTGTATCTACTCCCGAAAACTCCGTTCACTGCGATCCCCTCACTAATGGCGGTTTAAGCCCCAGTTCGGGGCTATCTAAGACCACCTAAGTCCTGACTCTCCTGCTTTGCGAGCATGGAGTGTATTCTTTCCCCCCAAAATTTCACTTCCACCACCTCCAACACCAAATCTCGTGTTTTGTAGGGGTGGCACTAGTGGATATATCACCCCACCCCTCGTCATCCCCTGAATCTGAATTACGCATGAAAGGGGCGCGGATGTATGGTACGACCACAGGCTGAGCGGCCAAACCTTGTTTTGAATGGCACAACGACCATCTCCCGAACAACCCAAACCTCTCTGACATATCTCTTTCATGGGTCTACCCAAGAGCCATCATGAGCTGAGATTTTATGCTTGGCCTCCAATATTCGGATAAAGTTGTCAACAAGTGGTGGAGACCTGGAGTCCTCAATTCGACTGGTGGGTATCACACTGGCCAGTGTCGAATCGCTATCGGCTTTGTGCAGGGCTGGAGAATTGTGACAAAATTTGTCGG